AGAGAGAGAGAGAGAGAGAGAGAGAGAGAGAGAGAGAGAGAGAGGGAGAAGACAAAGAGACAGAGACATGTCAAGTATGGGAAACGCAGATGTGGGGATGACTTGTGCTAACCTGGGACTCGAGGCCACCACAGAGCTGTGGGTAAGGAGTTGTCTGGCTTTAAGGAGGGAAAGGTGGGGTTTCTGGAAGGATTTCCCACCCTGTCCAAGCTTAGGAAGAGGTGAATGGCATACTGTGCTAGCCAAGGCGTGCAGAAGGCATCTTGGGAGGGAAGGGCTGGGACGGGGGTCCTCTCCATCTTTTGGTTGGAGAAGTGTGAGTCTCCTTAGCTTCCCGTCCCCGCCCCCAGGGTTTCCCGCGCTCCCTGCGTACCGGGGCTCCGAGGGGCGCGCGCACCTCCCTCCGCAGGACGCTCAGCACCGGGGTCTCTGTGGCGGCTGCCAGAAACTGCAGTAGCCGCAGCTCGGGCCGCGCCTCGGGAAAGGCTATGGAGGCCACCACGCCAGGCGGTGACAGAAGCTGGCACAGACCTCGGGCCAGCGACGCGGGGTCCCGGGTCGGGGACGCGACGGCCACCAGTTCCAGACTCAGGTTGTGCGGCAGCCGCGGCGGAGGGGTGGCCAGGGCAGCTAGGACTCGGGCGCGGGCGGCGGGCGCCCGGGGCAGGAGCGCAGCCAGGCGCACGGAGGCCCCGGCGCGCGTGGGAACCCCGCAGGGCTGAGGGTGACCGCGCACCACCCGGGACCCCAGCGTCAGCACCAGGGCCAGGCTGAGCCACAGCGTCTGCACGCACTCCATCCCGAAGGAAGTTCCACTGTGCTCTGCGAGGGGAAGGAGACACCCCAGCCAGCCCCGCTCCCGTCCCTCCTGCGGGTCCCGGGCGCCAGCGTCCACTGAAGGAGGAGCTGGGCCGCTGCCTGGGTTTGCTGTGGCACACAGGGCAGAGTTGGGTGATTCCTTCCACTGGCCACACTGGAGCTCCCAGAGCAGTCTAGCCAGTACAACAGTGTGCAGCCCAGCCCGGGGGAACTGAGGCAAGCACATCTGGTAGAAGTCTGTAAGATCGAGCTCCTGTCCTCCAGCCCTGGCAACAATATTGAATCACAAACTTAAAAAGAAAAAAAAAAAAACACATGTATTTATGTCTCATGTTCGTTGTGGGGAACTACATTCCACAGCCCATATGAGGACAGTTTTTGGAGATCTTTCCTGTGGGCCTCGGGAATCAAAACGGGGTCCTCGAACCTGACAGCAAACACCTTTACTCAATGAACCATCGCGTTTGGTCTTCGTTCTCTTTTAAATCTTTATCACTCCCACCATGAGGAGCAGCAGCGTTCTTCTGAGACCGGGTTTTATTCCGTAGCCTTTTATGCCTGGCTGACCTTGAACTCTAATAGAAAGCCATGTGCCTCTGCATCTGGAGGGCTGGGATTAGTGAGTGAGTGAGTGTGAGTGTGTGTGAGTGTGTATATCACACTGGGGAGGAAACTGCTCTCAGGGGTCACTGGGTCCCTCGATGCTGGATATGAGCAACTCTGTTGGTGCTAGGAACCAAAACGGAGTTCTCTACAAAAGCAGTCTAAACCAACCATAGAGGAATCTTTCTGCTTTCCAGAACTCTTCTTTACCCTTCAAAACCTAGGGTCAAATGTCCTGCTGAAAACCCCTGCCACCTAGACCGCATGTCAGACCCCTCTCATGTGTGCATCTTGCTATTGTCTCATTTACTGATCACTGCCCGTCAGTTCAGGGAGCACAAGGGTAGCCCCCATTCAGTCACTCCTGTGTCTCAGGCCTTGCATTACAATGGATACTCTATAATTGCTCTGGAACCTTCTATAGCTCCCAGTTGTCCAGGTCCCCCAACTCATCTGACTCAGGGCCCACTTGTTATCCAAGTGTAGCCTATAGCATCAGAGATCAAAGGCTTCCCCAGCTAGGAGGGCACTGCTGGAAACTCTGAGGTCTGTCCTCTTCCTGGCTCTAGAAGATGTGGCATTCCCCCAGAATCCTGCACTGCAGCTGCCTGCAGGGAACACTCAGCCCTGATCAATGAATCTACACTTGGTCAGCTCTCCCTCCTCTCCAACCCCTCCCGCCCAAAAACCTCATTCTCCTTGCAAAGCCAACATTAAAACAACAACAAAAAAACCCCATCCATCAAGCAAATAAAAAAGCCAGCAAGACAGACTGTACTCTGAGCTGGCTTTTAACCAGATAGCTTGGCTATGGCAGGCTGTCTAGGCACCTGGCCAGGGCTCCAGAGGACATCAGGCTGGGGGTCCTTCAGGGTTCCTGTCTGGGGCTAGCCTGTCCGGGTTACCATGCCACTTCAGAAGTCCTCAGGGCACTCTTCCTGAGGCTGAGATGCCACCAGCCTTAGATCCCCTTCCTCTGACAGCTGCCTTTTGTCCATACTATCATCTGGCACTCTTTCAGTAGGCCTCCCAACAGTGCTGGTGCTGGTTCTACTCCATCCACTGAACATGAAACAGCTGGACTGCAGGTGTGTCAGGACTCACTAGCACTCCTAACAGAAGGCCCAAGAGGGACCTCCCACTTCAGCTGAATGACAAGAAACTCACAAATATGAATTTATCCCCCTGAATACTGTTCTAGACATTTCCTGCCACGGAATCCTTCAGTGCCCCTTGTCCTCAAGGTCCCACCACACTCGATGCTGGACCATGCAGCATCCACGTCCCTCCCATGGACAGTAGGGCTGTGCTGTGTCTTTGCCTCTATCCTGTCCCACTCTTGTCACCTGAGGAAGTCTATGGGGGCTTGGTGCAGGCTGCCCCACTGCTCAGGAGACTGGGGACATGGACCTTCGTGCAGCTTGGCATTCGCCCAGCCTGATATAATGGCAGAGTCCCCAGTCAGGATGAGGTGCGTGCACAAATCAGAGAATACAGCAAGGCCTAAAGAGGCTGAAGGACGCAGACGGGCTGATGCTCAGATCTACAGGGGGACCCGGCCTTCCAGGTCAGCCTGGGCTAGTGAGGTCCAGGCTCTGATAGGGCGGATACAGGGTTGGTCTTTCAGTCCAGCGACAGCAGGTGGGGACCAACATTTGGGTGGCAATGTATGGCTCCACCCCACATGTGCCACTGTCCCTAGCCAGAATCAGAGGCATAATTAGGAGTATAGTGAACATCCCAGTCTCAAGGGACCTCCAGAGGCCTCTGGTTGGGTGCTGGGGACCCATGGCTGGTAGAGTGTGTATATTCTTGCCTCTCCAGACACCCCTGAGGGGGCAGGAGCAGCTAGAAAAAGCCAGGGAGTGGAGGGAGGGGTCAGAGTATCTGTGCCAAGAACAAAACGGGCCAACTCTGGGGGAAACTAAGTGCTAAAGAGGACTCGGAGGTCCATGTCATAGGAGGCTGCCATTCCCCAAGGGATGGTCACCTGAGGGCACAGCAGTCCGGGCTCTGGCCTGAGGTCAGTATTGGCACTCTTCTGAGTTGCAGTGCCAACAGCTCTGATAAATCACAGAATTTCTGGATTCCGTGTTAGGCAGGGCCATCAGTTGAAGGCAGCTTTCTGGAAGGTTCTGTTGGTATTTAGGCTGGATTTCAGGTTACTGTTGGAGTAGCCCCAGGACACTATGTAGGGACTGAGCTTTGGATATCCATGAAAGACTGCTTGCTGCCTGACTAGCCCCTGTAAATGGGGACTCTGCAGTCTGTTCCTCAGTAACCCTACCCCATCTCTCAGGCCTCAGGCCTTCCAACCAAGCCCCAGTCCAGCCAGGGACAGAACAACTGAGGCATACGATGATTTTCAGTCCATCCTTTGTTAAAACACTAATCCCAGCCCCACGGCAAGTGTTTGTGTGGCAGCTGCCCAGCCCGCATCACTTAGAGGGCCGCGTGATAATGCGCGTGGAGAAGTCAAACAGGTCCCGGTTGATCTTGCGCAGGCTACGCACCTCCTCCTCCAGCTCAAACACACGAGCTGGCAGCATCTGGCTGCCTAGCATGTTCTGTGGAGAGAGGGGGTGTGGGTGGGGCTGTTGCTGTCCGCACACCCGGGACCGCTCACCACCAGGATTAGCCCCACCCACCTTCTCCAGATAGCCGGACAACACTGCCTGCAGCTGCTCCAGACGCTCCAGGTAGCTAGGGTCTTTGCCCTGTAAAGTAGCATGGTCACCTGTGCTGTTCCCCGCCCTCAGAGGACCCAGCCTCCACCACAAGACCAGAGTCCAGGGCTAAGGGCAACATGGGGACCTGTAATATCCAGGCCAAGAAGGCTGTAGAGCAGAAGGTAGATTGGGCCAATGCCCAGATCCAGCAAGGTACACAGTGGGACTGCAGGGTGGGGTTTGACAGCCAAGCTTCTCGGACACTAGGCCCTCACCCTGTCTGCCACCTTCTATGAAAGGGCCTGCCACTATAGAGTGACACAGACCTGGCTTGGAGCCCCATGGGAGGCACTGAGGATGCTAGGTGGAAGCCCCTTCCTGGTGGGGTGTCTCCTGACCTCAGACTGCCCTGACTGTTGCCACCCATCTACTCCTCAAAGAACCTAGTGACCTGCCACTCACTGAGAGCAACAGGACAAGTCATCTGAGCGTGTGAGGCTGACACGCAGCAGCGGTGGGTGCCAATGATCTGGGTAGCAAGATAGGCGCACCAGCAGCAGGAGGAACTCTGGGGTACGGAATGTTCTGGAACAGTAGCTGAGTGGACATCATGCAGGGGCCCTGTGGGTCCTACCTGCAGGTGGAGCCCAAGCTGCAGGCGCAAGCCCCCACCCTGGGCTTCATCTCCATGCTCAGCACCCAGCAGGTGCTTGTTGAAGTGGGGCAGGGGCAGGCTGGGTCTGAATTCAGGGTTCAGCATGCTGGCTGGGGCTAGCATGATCGCTGCATTGGTCACTGGGCCTGAGGGACACAATAACACAGCGTCAGGGCCTGGCTGGCAGACGGGCCCTGCCTTGTACCTGCGTGGCCGTGCTGGCCTTGTACACACCTTTGAGGGCAACTGTGCGCAAGCACTGCTTGCTCTTCACATCCCACAGCCGCACAGACTCGTCATGGGAGCCTGAGAGCAGAACGCTGCCATCTGTTGACACCGACAGGCATGTCACTTGGTTCCTGGGAGAGGGGGGACAAGGGTTGGGTGCTTCATGGTGTGAGGACTGTGCCGACCCCACCTGGCTGAGGTGACTACCTGTGTCCTTTGAAGACCTTCCCTGTGTTCTGCTCGGGCTGGAAGCTGTGCTCCCTCAGTCCGGGCTGTGGGTGGAGACGGGTTGTAAGTGCCTGTGATATAGGGCAAAGGACTGGGGGTGCCTCAGTCCTAGAGGGCCACTCACCCAGCTGCACAGGTCCACCTGGAAGATTGAGCCATCGCTTCCTCCACAGAATATGTGGTGCTCGGCCAGGTCCATGGTCACAGACATGATGCCCATGTCAAACAAGACAGACAGTAGCAGGTCTCCCGAGGAGATGGCCCAGAGCTGCAGAGACGGGAAGCCTGGCACTGTGGACACCCAGGCACACAGCCAAGTCGGGGAGCGAGGAGGGATGGGGACCCTGGCACCACCACGCCCATGCTACCAGCCTCTGAACCCCCACAGAATCACAGGCACCCCAGCCGCTGTGGGGTTGCTGAAGACCCAAAGCACTAGCCAGGGAATATGTCTCCAATCCTGCCCTCAATCCCTCCGCTCCTAGGCAGAGGCAAGGGGGTCTGTGAGTTACAGGTACACACCAAGTTTCAGGCAAGCTGTGACCACACAGTGAGAAAAATCTCAAAAAACAAGCAAAAAACTGTCTAAAACTAGAAGATAAAAGAGGGCTGGAGGCGAGGCTCAGGTAGAGCACTGGTCTCACAGACTCATGGCCTGGGTTCCTTCTCTAACACTGTGCCAATAACAAATAAACAAGCCCAAACACTCAAGGGCATCTGGCCACTGATGCGTGGACGAGTGGGAATTTCCAGCAGACATGCTGGACAGTCCATTTCTGAGTGTCCTTGGTCCGGCATAGGGATTATGGGCTGTCTGGAGCCCAGACAGCCACGGCAAGGGGGAGGCCAGTCTCCATCCCTCCTCGCTGAGATCCAGTGGCTGCCAGGAATTCATAGGTCCAGGTTAGGGATACTACCTTTATGGTCTGGTCCAGTGAAGCGGTGGCCACCCGGGCCATGGGGCCCCCAAAGCCGCAGTGCAGGTCTGTGACTGGGAGCGTGTGCTGGGACCAGACATGTCTCGGAGCAAGGATCCTGGATGGGTCTGCCTGTAGCACACTGGGCACACAGTAGTAGTGAGGCCATGTGGAAAGCCCCTGGCCTGCCTCCCAAGAATGGGATACCCCAGATGTCACCAGCCTCCTCGCTGCCCCGAGGCCCCCCCACAGCCTTTCTGTGTAGATCTTGGCCCATGGCCTATGGCCCACAGCTTACCTGCAGAGGCTCCAGGCCAGCACCAGGCAGTCCTTGCCCGTGGAGACAAAATGGCTACCATCACCTGTAAACTTCAGGCATGACACATCCTGGTAGTGACGGCTGAGGATGACCAGGAGGTTCCCTGTGGAGACCTGTGAGAGGCCAGGCACCAATGGTCAGGGGCATAGACTATGGCAGCCCATGCCATCCACCTGCTCTAGGGTCATCGACAGACTGACCCAGGAAGGCCGCAGGCCCGCATCAGTGTGCACTGGCCAGCTCTGGCTGTGTCCTCAGCGTCTGATGATAGTGGAACCCCACTCTGTCCTCAGAAAAGAGGCCCCTGCTGCTCAGCATGTGTGAGGCTCCAGCTCAGCACACACAGGGGCAATGGTGGAGGTGGCCTCCCACTGCTTGGGAGGCTGAGGCACTTGTGCCCTGAGTTTGTGGTCAGCCTCAGTTACGGGAGAACCTTGCAGAAGGCAGAAAAACCCAGCAAGCAACAGGGTCCTGGCAGGGTGAGAGCGAGGCTGCAGCCGGAGTGCCTGCATCTAAGGCTGGTGTTTAGACATTCCAACTCGCAACAGGGAGGGGACCAGGGGCTGCTCAGGGGCAGTGTGGTGAGCACAAAGGCTAGGCTCCATGCCAAGGGGGGCTGGGTTTCTGTTGGGTGTCTGGGATAACTCAGGGTGTGGAAGGACAACGCGGCTACTGCCCACATGGCCACACCTCAAAGAGAATATGGCCCACAATCGTCAGCAGAACCTTAGGCCCAGCAGGCTCTTGGGTGCCACACAGATGCTGAGACTTATGGGTCCTTTGTGAGCCCCTCACCCCAGAGAAAGGGCAAATTCCCACACCTGCCTTAGCCCAAGAACCTGTGGACTGTGCAGTGCCCCCTGGTGGCCACAACTCAGAAATTCTTAGCGACCCAGGATGGAGCAGTAGCCAGCCATCAGCAAGAGGTGGCACCAAGCTAGTCTTGGAGAGGCAAGCAAACAAGAGTCACCTGGGAAGAAGGAACCTCAACCGAGAATTTGCTGCCACTAAGCTGGCCTGTGAGCCAGTGTGGGAAATTGTCTTGATTAAATGTTGGACTGGGCCCTCCACCTATGGAGGGTACCAGCCCTGGGAAGGTGGTCCTGGGTTGCATAAGAAAGGATGCTGGGGCTGGAGAGATAGTTGAGTGGTTAGAGCACTGGCTGTGCTTCCAGAGGACCTGGGTTTGATTCCCAGCACCCACAGGAGGGCCACATCCACATGTAACTCCAGGGGATTCTACACCTCTGACCTCCAAAGGGCACCAGATACACATGTAGGCAAGACACTCACACACACACACACATACACACACACACATACAAACACAAAAAACAAACAAACAAAAACTGCTTTAAGCCGGGCAGTGGTGGCGCACGCCTTTAATCCCAGCACTTGGGAGGCAGAGGCAGGCGGATTTCTGAGTTCGAGGCCAGCCTGGTCTACAGGGTGAGTTCCAGGACAGCCAGGACTACACAGGGAAACCCTGTCTTGAAAAACCGAAAAACCAAAAACCAAAAAACCAAAACAACAACAACAACTGCTTTAAAAGGCCGGAGAGAGGCTGGGCGGCGGTAACACACATCTTCAGCCCTAGCACTCTGGAGGTGGAGGCAGAGGCAGAGGCAGAGGCAGAGGCAGAGGCAGAGGCAGGTGGATGGATCCCTGCGTTCAAGGCCAGCCTGCTGGTCTATCGATCAAGTTCCAGGACAGCCAGGGCTACGATACAGAGAAACTCTGTCTCAAAAAGACCAAAACCAAGAGGGATGAGTATGGCTCAGTGGCAGAGCGTTTGCATGGAATGCCCAAGGTCCTGGGTTCAATCCCCAGGATAGCAAATAAAGAGATACAAATTAAAGTCAATGCAACACTACCCAAAAACAATTCCTTAATTAATTTTGGCCGGGCGGTGGTGGCACACGCCTTTAATCCCAGCACTTGGGAGGCAGAGGCAGGTGGATTTCTGAGTTCGAGGCCAGCCTGGTCTACAGAGTGAGTTCCAGGATAGCCAGGGCTATACAGGGAAACCCTGTCTCAAAAAACCAAAAAAAAAAAAAAAAAAAAAAAAAAGACCAAAACCAAAAGAGTTTAAAGAGTGCTTTAAAAGGCTGGGACAGCAACTGAGTGGAGATCTCCTGCCCAACAGGCTTGGTGCTGGGCTCGAGAAAGCCAGGCACTGCCACCCCAGCACTGGGAAGGTGGTACCAGGAGGCTCTGGAATTCAAGGGAGTTCAAAGTCAGGCTGGGCTACATGAGACTCTATCTCAGAAAACAAAATCCAAGACCACAGCTTCTCCTGGGTAAAGTAGTTGCCACTCAAGTGTGAAGACCCAGTGTCAGATCTCCAAAACCTGAACAGAGTACAGGCAGATGTGAGTCTCCGGCATTCTGAGAACTCTTGGAAACTTGGAACAATAGGATTCTGTCCCACAGAAGATGCAAGTCAGGGACGAACAACTGATGTTGTTCTCTGCTGCCTACATGTAAACAGTCACGTACAAAGCATGTACATGTGCACACAACAGGCACACAAAACCCAAGAAAGAACAAGAAAGGGAAGTCTCAGATGCAGGGCTCTCAGGACACAGCAGAACAGCCCATGTGACCCTCTTCTGTGGGGCCGTGATACCTTGGCTTTCGTTTTCCTCTCTGTCCAAGACAGCTTCAGAATCGTGGGCTAGGAATGATCATGGAGGTCCTGGGATGGCTTCGAGGAAGATGAAGCCAGGAGTAGCAAAACCCGGCTGAGGTCAGCTCTGGGCTTCCAGTCTTCCATCCACACAAGGCCAGGTCAAGACAGCCTAGAGCATGTAGTCCTCCAGGCTTACTCACTGCCAAGGTTATTAACTAGTCCCAGCACAGCCAGGCAGCCAGGGCAACAAAAGGCTGAAGACTGACCTCCGGCTCGGTGGGAAGCAGGGGGACGATACCTTTTGTCCCTGACTGTGAGACAAAGGGGGCTAGCTACCACTGGGCTTATGATAGTTTTATTTTATACATTTTTTTAAATTTACTTATTCATTTTATGTATTTGAGTACACTGTGGCTGTCTTCAGACACACCAGAAGAGGGCATCAGATCCCATTACAGATGGTTGTGAGCCACCGTGTAGTTGCTGGGAATTGAACTCAGGACTTCTGAAAGAGTAGTCAGAGTTCTTAACCGCTGAGCCATCTCTCAGGGGCCCTGACAGTTTTGCAGGTCTAGGGTACTCTCAGAGGCCAGATGAGGGTGCTTAATTCCCTGGAGCTACCGACAGTTGTGAGCTGCCATGTGGGTGCTGGGAACTAAACCTGGATCCTCTGAATGAGCAGCCAATGTTCTTTTTTTTTTTTTTTTTTTTTTGGATTTTTTTTCGAGACAGGGTTTCTCTGTGTAGTCCTGGCTGTCCTGAAACTCACTCTGTAGACCAGGGTGGCCTCGAACTCAGAAATCCGCCTGCAGCCGATGTTCTTAACTGCTGTGCCATCTCTCTCATTCAATAAAGTTTTAAAAGATTCTGTGCTTTCCAGGTTTATTTTCTTTTTGAGTGTTTTGCCTGCAAGTCTATATGTGTACTAGGGCATGTTTGGGGCCTAATGGGATCAAAAGAAGTGTCAAGTTCCCTAGAACTAAAGTTACGGATGGCTGCATACCATCATGTGAGTGCTGGGAATTGAACCCATGTCCTCTGCAAGAGCAACAAGTGTTGTCAATCACAGAAGCATTTTTCTTTGCTGTTGACTGTGGATATAAACTGAGGAGTTGACTTGCTTCCTGCCCTGACTTCCCTCAATATAAACTGCAAGTATAACCGAATAAATGCTTCCCTCCTCTGCATAGCTTCTGGTCACCACCCTTTCTAAGTTTCTTTCTTGGCTGCTCACAGCAGCACTAGGTCCACCAGTGGGGTGAGCACTGCGCTGCGTCTCAGTCACAAGTTAGGACCCTACAGACATGTTCCCATGTTGGTCTCAGAAGTCATGGGTAAAATCCCCAAGACCACCTGCCTACCTCAGTTAAAACTGGTCCCTGACCAGTTTTACTCTTTAGCATTCCCAAGTGACATATACATGTGACAAGCTGTTCTCACCTCCCACAGGTAGATGCTCTCTGCAATTCCTGCCAGGACATACAAGCCGTTAGGTGCTGTAGTCAGACAGGTGACGGGCCCAGGACACATGATTTTCTGTTGGAGCTGGTCCTAGGGACATAGAATACAAGACAAACTATGTAAGTATCAGGATGGAGGCAAAGGAAGGGAATTTTTTTTTTTTTTTTTTTTTGGTTTTTCGAGACAGGGTTTCTCTGTGTATCTCTGTCTGTCCTGGAACTCACTCTGTATACCAGGCTGGCCTCGAATTCAGAAATCCGCCTGCCTCTTCCTCCCAAGTGCTGGGATTAAAGGCGTGCGCCACCACTTGCCATCAGGAAGGGAAAAATTTTAAGTACAGAGAGCAAGAGAAAGTGGGTTGGGGAGATAGACTGCCCAAGTGAGTGGTTGGAAGTGCGGCTCAGGGTTAGAACCGTCTGCCTATATCCCCCTAGTGAAGGGCAGGGTCGAGGCTCAGTAGTAGGAATCCTACCGGACAAGAAGGAAGTTCTGTGTTCCAGAAACATACGAACCAAAAAGACCCCAGGCCTCAGTCAGTCTTGATAGTTAAGATCCACGACAAAATCGGGTAACAAAAGCAGGGGCCGTCAGTCTACCTCTTCCCGTGGCTCCTTGGAGTCTCTGATGTGCCATGCCGACCAAAAGCATGACTTCTAACGGACCCCATTTTCCCTTCTGCATCAAAATTAGCACCCCTAATACAAGTGTGCAAAAGCCGATTCGCCATACATCTTTCTGATCATGCGCGCAGAAATCTCTCAGGGCGCCTCAGCGCCAACCTCCTAGGGGAAAATCCCTTTACCTCTGAGTACACCCCTATCACGCAGCCACACCAGGGTCGCCGGGACCCTAACCCTGGAGCGCCCGAGTATTCTCGACTGCCCCGCGGACGCTGAGGTCTCGCACCTTGCGCTGCAGCTCCCAAGCACAGATGTAGTTCTTGCCCTGCTGCGCTGCTAGCAGGTACTCGCCATTGAGTAGCGCCAAGCCTCGCGGCCCCGCTTGGCCGCCTCGATAGGTGAGCAGGTTGGCGCCCGAATGAAGCTCCCACACCACGCAGCTCCATAACTGTGCCGCGGAGTCTGTACACACCACCACTTCCATGGGCGCCGCCATCTTGCCTTGTCAGCCCCGCCCCCGAATCCCATCATCCTTAGCGAGACTGTCAAAATGGCTCCCGGCCGACTAGAGCGGCCTTAGTGCCTCCTAGCGGCCGAACCGGAAAGTCGACGCATGCGCAGTACCTCCACCGAGCCGAGGAGGCGGAGTTGATTGTCTGGTGCTAACTGGCTCCATGAAGCCTAGATAGACATTAACGTACTTTAGGCGGGGCTAACATGCGCATGCGTACAAAGTTCGCTGCTCTGGGGCGGAGCTAGCCGCGGGGGTTCGAGAGGGAGGAGCCGCACCTGCATATGCGTACAAACCATTGCGCGAACGGTGCTGCATTAGACCGAGCCGCGCAGGTTAGAACACCCGCAAGCTTCTCCGAGGGCGGGGCGGGGCGTGGCGGGGCCGGGCGGGGCGGACTGGATTCCTGCACATGCGTAGAAGAATGGCCTCTCAGCATTCTCTGTGTAGCGGAAGATGCTCTTGCTACCCGTTTGCTGGGTTTGCCTTTTTTCTTTTTCTTTCTTCCCTTTTTTTTCCCCCCGAGACAGTGTCTCTGTTAAGTTGGGACTAAAGCCTTGAGCCTCCACCGCCAGCGAGTTTAGAAGGGGTTTTTCTTTTTCTTTTTTTTTTTTTTTTTGGTTTTTCGAGACAGGGTTTCTCTGTATAGCCTGGGCTGTCCCAGAACTCACTCTGTAGACTGTAGACCAGGCTGTCCTCGAACTCAGAAATATGCCTGCCTCTGCCTCCCAAGTGCTGGGATTAAAGGCGTGCACCACCACCGCCCAGCGAGCTTAGAAGTTTTTACTGGATAGTTTCTGCTAGGTGTTTTGACTCAAATGATCTAAACTTTTAGAATGTTTTGTTTTCTACTTAAGCCACTCTGGCCCTCAAACTCGTGTCAATCAATCCTCCTGCCTCAGCTTCTTGCTTGCTGAGATGACACACATAAGTCACCACAGCCGGCCTTTTCTTTTTGTTATGTTTTGGTTTTTTGAGACAGGGTTTCTCTGTATAGTCCTGGCTGTCCTGGACTCACTTTGTAGACCAGGCTGGCCTTGAATTTAGAGAGATTCTCCTGCCACTGAGTGCTGGGATTAAATGTCTGGGCCACCACACCCAGCTAATCGCTTTACTTAATAAACTTTGTTTTACAGCAAAAATATAAACTAGTGACCTTTATACTTTATTTAGACCAAATGAAGTTAGTTACTGCATACTCACAAAGGATAATACGTCTGGCTGAGGCGTATTGGTGATTAAACTTACCAATTGACCCACGTCCTTTATCGATTGGCCTCCTCTATGGCCTTTCCTCCTCTAAGTCATAAATTTCAAATTTGTATTTGGTTCACTCAATGTAGACCCAAAAAGTCAATCTCTTGTTAAGCAATCTTTAGCCTCGGGTCACAGCTGCTGGTCATAGGCCAGGTCTAAAACCAAGTGTCCCCTTCCTCCCTCCGTGTGCTGTTAGGAGAGGCGAGTGCATGCAAGCCGGAATCCTGCAGCCGGGAATGTGGTCGCCGGAGCGCTGCGCCAGCCGGGGCGGCATGCCTGTTTGCAAGGGTGAGGTTGTGAGCTGGGTCTGACAGCAGCTGTTGGACCTGTGAGGAGGCAAAGTTACATGCCGGGTGCAAACACTGGACTCAGCGACCTGGCCGCCCCGCGACCTCAGGCCAGAAAGAGGGGAACCCAGTTGGAGTGAGGCGTGCTACCCAATATGGCCACAAGATGGCAGGCGGGAGCTGCGGGGACAGGGAGGACTCAGGCGGCGATTCCCAGTAGAAGGCAAGAAACTCATGAACATGGTGCTGTCCAGGGGCACAGCAACAGGTCCTGGGGCAGGATGGAGGATGCAGAGCTCCATTTGAGAGTGTTGGAGGTGACAACCTGTGTATTACTTCATTATGCGAGAGAGGGAATTCATCCCCTAAGACTTACGCTCAGGTTGTTCGTAAATACCAGATACTCCTGCCTCAACTTCCTAAGAGCTAGGATGCAGCTACTTTTAATGCTAAAATGTGAATAACAAGAGAAAGAGTGGCCGGGCGGAGGTGGTGCATGCCTTTAATCCCAGCACTTGGGAGGCAGAGGCAGGCGGATTTCTGAGTTCGAGGCCAGCCTGGTCTACCGAGTGAGTTCCAGGACAGCCAGGACTACACAGAGAAACCCTGTCTCGAAAAAAAACCAAAAAAGAGAGAGAGAGAGAGAGAGAGAGAGAGAGAGGGAGAGAGAGAGAGAGAGAGAGAGAGAGAGAGAAAGG